GGCACGGTGCTGTGTGACTGTCCGAGCGGACGCCTAGGTTGCGACTGGCAGTTGGCTATGATGGGCATGTTATGGAGGAAGGCTACTGAGGCAGAGTGAACTAGGGGGGAATATCCACAGGTTCCCAGTGGGGTTTATAACTGCTGCTGATGATAGAATAACTCAGTGCAGCTAGAGATGCATTTCAACAACCTTGGTTTGGATACAGCATTCCCCCTTAGATCATTCGAGGGTGGAAAGAAATCATTTTGGTGACTCTTTGAAAGATGTTTTCCTTTCAGTGAAAAAAGCCAGTGCCCCTTGGGTGCCCCGGATATGAAGCACTGCTTCTTGTTTGTTCCCACAAGGTTTTGAGAAGAATGCCAAGCGATGGGTGGGTTGATTCAAATGGAACAGTGAAACTACGTTAGGTAAACACTGGGGATGTGGGCCGAGGGTAATTTTATTTTTATAACAATATTGTGCATGGGGAGTGAGCCCTGAAGGCCATCTGTTCTCCTACTTGTGATAGCAATGAGGAAGCAATGAGGAAAGCTAGCATCATCAAAAAGTAGAGAAGTGAGCACATTACAGAGGCAGCAATGCACCCGAGTGAAGTCCAGTGTAGGGGTAGGGTTTTTTATTTCAGGGAAAGGTTATGAAGATCATGAAGGAAGAAGTTAGTGGTAGGGTGGCTGAAGACTGAGAACTCACCCACTTCTTGGTGGAACTCCATGACTACCACAAGGTGTACTCTGATTGAACACATCGAGAAACCGGATTTCTTAAGTTCCAGTATATAATCCACTACCACTGATAAAAGAGAGGCAGTTGCTATTGTTTGTCTATTCTGCTACCATCTTTTCCATCCACACAGGTGGAAAGTCCCTTCCCGTTTTGAACACGGCATTTTATTTTCTCAGAACCATGGTGATCGGCTAATAAGGACTTCATGTTTGAGTGGCCCCGGCAGTACAGAGCAGATGGAGGGACAGTAAGTTTCCCTTTGGTGCCTTTTTTCCAAGCCAGCTCCCTTAGGGCCTTTGGCTTGCATGGTAGCCATGGTAGCAGATGGTCCTGCTACCTCAGAGATGGGCAGTCTCAATGCTGTCGGTATTGATGGGGTCTGGTAGGTTGGGGGATGTCTCTTTTTGAGAGGTTCCTGAGAAGGGAAGGCATGGCCGTTCTTAGTTGGGGGAGCAATTTGTCTGCTTAATTCTGATAACGAACGAGACTCTGGCATGCTAACTAGTCACGCGACCCCCGAGCATGATACATCTACATGTTTTGTTAGTTTATAAAGTGCTACCAGACCATTTGTTGTTTTTTAAACGGGCCTTCAGATTGAGGCAGTGGGAGCACTTTTTGGTGTATATGTCTCACCAAGGCAGCAGACGTACTGTGAGTACCTCAGAAACCAGGACAAGTGAGGCAATGCTGAAAACACAGGGAGCCAGGCATATCATATAGAATAAGGTTTCTCCCATTAGATGTGCTGTAGGTGGTACCCCTTTCTGCCTGAGGCCCCACCCCTTCTGGGAGCACAGAGCCATTCCCCCACCTTGCCCAGGGGCCCAGTAAGTCTGCCAGCCCTTCTGCAGGTCTGTCTCTCCACTGGTAAGTCTCCACTTGTAGCAGAAATGACTATGACTAAATTGTAAGTACACTACTTTGGACTACAGAATTTCATCCAGGCTGTGTCACTTTTCCGGAATCAGCCACTTTTCCGGAAAAACTTGCCAGCTATCTACACTGGCCGCTTGAATTTCCGCAAAAGCACTGACTTCCTACTGTAAGAAATCAGTGCTTCTTGCGGAAATACTGTGCTGCTCCCGTTCAAGCAAAAGTCCCTTTTGCGCAAAACTTTTGCACCAAAGGGCCAGTGTAGACAGCTCAGATTTGTTTTCCGCAAAAAAGCCCCAATCACGAAAATGGCCATCGGGGCTTTTTTGCGGAAAAGCGCGTCTAGATTGGCACGGACGCTGTTCCGCAAAAAGTGCTTTTGCGGAAAAGCGTCCATGCCAATCTAGATGTTCTGTTCCAAAAATGCTTTTAACGGAAAACTTTTCCATTAAAAGCATTTCCGGAAAATCATGCCAGTCTAGATGTAGCCCCAGTGTCTGGCGCTTCAGTCTTCAAGGGCCTCCTGATATTCCTGCAGAACATTGTGATCTTCCTCTGAACCGACAAGCCCTTCCAACATGGTACCATCAGCAACACACCAACTTTTTATTCCAAAGCCATTTATAAAAATCTTGAACAAGATCGGTCTCCAGACTGACCCTTGAGGAACTTCACTAGCAACCAACCTCTCCCATTTCGGACATTTCACCTTTCAGCATAACTCACTGCCTTTTCCGTTTTAGCCAGTTCCTTATCAACCTCACAGTTCTTGAACTGTGCTCCATGTTCCCTAATTTAACTAATCATTCTCCATGTGATACCGACTGTGTCAGAGGTTTAGCTGACGTCCAAGTGTATTAGCACTACTGAACTCATTTATCCGAAAACAAGAGAAAAAACCCCCGACAAAACAAACCCTCGCAAGTTTTAGTTATCTCTTGATTAGACTCCTGCACATGCTGTGGAAAAACTAATGACTTAATTGCTTAATTACCAGCAGAAACCTCAATTTTATTCCCTATTTCTGCTGCTTTATAATCATCTCCTTTAAACTTGCCAAATATCTATTCAACAAACACACACAACAGCAACAAAACAGACTGTACTTATGCAATTGCTTTCATCAGAGCACTTCACAAATAACGAGTAAAATATATTTTATAGAGGAGATGGAGACAAGATGTGTCAATCTTGTAATTGTCGCAAGTCCAAAGCACTGATCCTACAACTGACCAGATGAGCAAAACTTTAGAAGGGCATCTAAATGTAGTCACCTGCAGGATCATGACTCATCAGAGCATTTCAAAATCTTGTACAAGCACAGATAATAAAATGTCACAGATTTATTTGTTTGCAGGTTCCCAGTTTAAGACACTTTGTACAGTTCAACCCTTCAGCTTACAAAGATCATAGAATCATAGAATAATAGGACTGGAAGGGACCTCGAGAAGTCATCGAGTCCAGCCCTCCACCCTCAAGGCAGGACCAAGCTCCGTCTACACCATCCCTGACAGATGTCTATCTAACCTGTTCTTAAATATCTCCAGAGAGGGAGATTCCACCACCTCCCTTGGCAATTTATTCCAATATTTGACCACCCTGACAGTTAGGAATTTTTTCCTAATGTCCAATCTAAACCTCCCCTGCTGCACTTTAAGCCCATTACTCCATGTCCTGTCCTCAGAAACCAAGAGGAACAAATTTTCACCTTCCTCCTTGTGACACCCTTTTAGATATTTGAAAACCACTATCATGTCCCCCCTTAATCTTCTTTTTTCCAAACTAAACAAGCCCAGTTCATGAAGCCTGGCTTCATAGGCTTCTCTAGACCTTTAATCATTCTTGTCACTCTTCTCTGTACCCTTTCCAATTTCTCCACATCTTTCTTGAAATGTGGCGCCCAGAACTGGACACAGTACTCCAGCTGAGGCCTAACTAGTGCAATCAGGCCTAACTAGATGCATCAGCTTACTCTGCATTGCCTGAAAGATGGCAGTTAAAGCAGGTTCATATTTTGCTAACAAAGCCTTTTGTTGTGTTCGAAAATTGAACTTTTCTTTAAATGGAATTTATTTGCAAAAATAAAATAAAATCTCTCTCTTTATAGAAAAAAGCTTTTCCTGCCGAGCGACAGAATGACGTCATCATGCTCTCTGGCCTCAAAAGCTGCCAGAGAGAGAGAGGAGTTGGTGAGAGTAATGAGCAGCGGGCGAAGCCCCCTAATAAAATAAAATAAAATAAAAGTGATCAATGCTATGAACACCAATTGTTACGAATGGGAAAACGGTAAAAATAAAAATTACATAGTGAAAGTAATGTCCATAAAGAACTATTCCTTCATATTCCAATGCCTTCGGAGCACTGGAAATCACTTTGCCCTAGACTGAAGGACAAGAAGAAAGTGATGCAGTGCACTATACAGCAACTTAAGTGCTGCATCCACTGCCATGTTGAGATCTTCCATTTTATGAATTTCTCAGGGTTAGGAACTCAATCCTCAAACAGCTCGTAACACGGGGACTCTGCTCTGTGGATGTCTGTCAAGTTGTTTTCATTTTTTGGTGTTATTTTTCCAATAGACATTTTTTATCAAAATTGTTCATTAACTGAAATGTAAAGGAAAAAAAGTGAACAAAACCGCTCGCCAGCTAGCAGTTCCAATGGGATCAGAGCTTGGCATATTGGATGGGAAAATATGGCCAGAAGCGTTTCAGCGAGAGCTCTTGGACTCTGAGCACTTGCAGCAACTTCTGCTAAATTTTGACATTTTCCATTTGCCAAAAAAGTAGAGCTTCGGTTAATAAAAATATTGACAAATATTTCTATTAAAACACAAAAAAGTCACGAGAAATCAAAAATTATGATGTGCCAACAATATGGAGGGATGAGAATTTGGAGTTTTTAGAAAAAGGTCATTTTCCCGTGGGGGCTGCATGCACCACATCAAGAGCAGCCGGGATGTGTTGAAACTATACATCACTGTTGCCCTGGCTAACCCCCCTTTCCATCCAGTGCTACTAGGCCCTCCACACATATGTGGAGAAAGGGAAGGGAATTTTTCTATGGTTGACCATCCGGACTCAACCCTGTTTGCATCTGTTGCTGTATAAATCAAGGCTAGCAGAAGCTGAAGGTCTGGGGGAGGGAAGTGCTGTAAGACAGCAACAAACCAGCCTTCAGCATGACACTGGGCTCTTCATTAATCAGTCAGGTGCAAGCTCCCAGCACGTTACCTCATGCAACAGCCATCAGATCTCTCTCTGAAACCACTTGGATCCTTTCCCCAGGTTTTGTTCATTTGTTGTTTCTAGTTAATTATGTATGGAACACAGCAGGTGCCTACATGATCATTTTACCATTGCCGGCAGCCATCCTCTTTGTCCCACATACAGACTTACCAGAAGAACGAGAATCACTGGGCCTTGATATATGTAGTCAATGTACTTCCCTGGTTCCTTTCCAAACCAGCATCTGTAAAAGAAACAATATGTCTTACAGAGATTAATGCACATCACATATTTGCATTATGCCCACTTTAGGGAGTTATGCACGTATACCCCTGAAGGGGTTTCATTTTTAATTACATAGCCAACATGCAGTTGAGCCACATTTCTCCTCTTAAAGTTTTCTTTGGACTCCGATCTGAGCCCCAAGTTTTGCTGAGTGCGGCCAAGTCATGTCCCTGCACAGTTTCTGGCTGCCTTCCATAGAACCATTGCCTGGAAACACGAGAATGTTTTGAGATTCGCTATAATGGAAGATATGAACATCCTTACTGCAGATGCAGAACTTATATGGCAAATTGTAGCCCACTGTGTCAGAAAGAGGGCTCTTCCTTTGAATGAAAAACCCAGCTGAGCTCTCTAATGCAGTGCTCAGGAATGATTCAGGGAAAGTCCTGTTTACGCAAAGGCCTCAAAAGCCTCAGGAAGTCTTTTCAAAATCCCATTGTCAAAGTCTTTTCAAAACTCCATAGGCTTCCAGCCTTAGGGTGCAACAAAGAGATCTCCCATTTAAAGCTAGTTGGTCAGACTGGCATTCTTCTCCAATACAACCTCAGGAAATTCAACGAATTTCAGTTAACCCTCAATGGGGCCTAACTGAAGTTCAATAAACCAGAGTCGTGTGCTACAGAGTTGTTGCTGAAGGCTACTTTTGTCTTCATTTCACTTATATGACTATGTGACAAGCTTCAAAGGACTGGTCTGAATGACCCAGGAGGTGACTTCCAATCCCATGCTAATTGCAAATATCTCATTTATTTCTCCGATACCTGGCAAACTAAACTGGTGCTTTCATGCTGCCGTATACTGGCTGTTGTGTGTACCTTCTAGTGGATGGAATCCTACAAAAGAGGGTATGCCATCTTGAACCCTGACCTCGATATGCCACAAGTCCTTTAAGGACTCTTACATGTGTCTTGTGAGTTTGCAACCCAAATCAAGTGACATGACCTTTTTGGAGTTCAGAGGTAGGTCTTCTATTCCCTTTTACTGTGGTGATTTCATAGACAGCCAGGTGGTCAATTCGTGCATGGCCATGGTGCATTGCAACATCTGATCATGTGTGAAGCAAAGATGCTGTGCTTGGTGCTGCCCAAGGCATAATAATAAAGACATTTCCTATGCTAGGGAGTTTACCATCCAGACAACAGCGACAGATCCAGCTTGAGGCCCCAATTGTATAGTACAGAACAGTCATATCGTAAATAACAACCCCTACCCTGCATCTTGGCCAGGGGTTTCGACTAGGCCAGCGGTTTTCAAACTTTTTTTCTCACGACCCAGTTGAAGAAAAGTGTTGATGCCGTGACCCGACATAACTTGACTATAGTGTGGGCTCCAATGACAGTTTTGAGATGCAGAAGGGGGCTCCGGCTTTGGTGGGAGAGGTTAGGGCTGGGCCAGGAGGGGCTTACTTTGAGTGGTTCCCGGTCAGCAGTGCAGCTGGGTGCTAAGGCAGCTCTCTGCCTCTCCTAGCACCGCAGACCATGCTGCACCCCAGAAGCAGCCAGCAGAAGGTTCCCAGCCAATGGGAGTGCGGAGCTAGTGCTCAGGGCAGGAGCAGTGAGGGCCTCTGTGCACTCTTCCCCTTTCCACCTAGGAACTAGGCCTATTACCGGCTGCTTCTGGGACACAGCACAGTCTGCAGTGCCAGGAGAGGCAGGCAGCCTGTCTTAGAAACTCCCACTGGTCCATCAGACACCCTGCAGCAACAAGACCCAGTACCTGACATTCCACGACTGGGTTGTGACCCATAGTTTGAAAACCACTGGACTAGATGACCCTTGCAGTCCCTTCTAACCCAACGGTTCCATAATTCTACCCCAAGGAACTCAGAAAAGCATCAGTCAAGAAGAATTATTTTAAGCATTAGAGTGGCAAAAAGTCTCCTCTAATATGGGGGACACCTGCTAACAGCACCTAACCAAAGAGGATATATTTGTCACTGGCACCGCATCCATGACACACGTTGAGAAGAATATTTTCTTATTAGAGAAACATTGCGAAATGTAACAGGTGTGAGAGTTCTCAAACGTCAGAATTCATGCCGTACTACATCAGATATCAGAATTCATGCTGCCCTTGCCTTTTCTCCACCTGACAGCCGCAATAAAATCAGACTGAATGAGATCATTTGGAATCATCTGCACTAAGTGGTCAGATAAGCTATTCAAATGTTATTTCCACTTGCACACAACATACCGGTAGCTTTGTGCAATCTGATAACTATTCTCCCTCCTCCCCCAATCCAAAATTTGGTGCTGAGAGAAGGAATTGGAAAGAGTTGTTTCTTGCTGCCCAAATTATTATCCAACTGGAAGTGAGACTCCCCTCACCCAATACTCGACCACAAATGACATAGAAGAGAAAAAGAGTGACGTGTGGAGTAGTGTGGAGGCAGAGAAGGGAATTGTGAGATATATCAAGGGAAGGAAACATAAGAGTTTCAGTGAATCTGCCAGGCCCGTGGAGACAGAGAAGGAAATTGTGAGATATATCAAGGAAAGGAAACATAAGAGTTTCAGTGAATCTGCCAGGCCCTGGAAGGTTTTGAGGATGCTACCAAGGAAAAAGAACTGAATTATTATGAGACTTTCAGGTAAGGGCCTTTTGGAAAGCTGCTGGTGGTAGTTAAGGAATCCCAGTGGGACTAATAATGAATTTGACTGGGGCATATGAAGGAACTCAAAGACCAAGAGCAGCCTGTAAAGAGGCAGCAGCTAATGCCCTGAGATTTTGAGGGAAGAAGTTATTGCCTGTGTTCTTTGGAACAAGGACATCCATTCTAGCGTAGATTTCATATAGCACAGAATAAAAGTATTATTTATACTGAAGTACTGTAGTTTCTTCGAGCCCCAGTCATGGACCAGGATCTCTCTGCACAAATATACAACAAAACGACAATCCTTTCCCTCAAGAATTTATACTTGAGTTGATATAAGGTAGCACGGGTCAGTGCAACTGGTATAATTCAGAGATCTCGATTTTCTCCCTTTACCTAAGTTCATTTTCATCTTTAGATCCAAACTAAGGCTCCAACCCTGAACTGAAAGCTACACAGTTAAAAGAACCCCACCACTACCACCAAAACCCTGGAAAACTCACCTCCTAATCCCATGAACGTTCTTATTTTATTTGGGCTTCCCAGTGGAGTGTGTGACAATTCTATCTGTGGTGGAGACCCCTGAAAAAAACTGCTAAAACCAACATCTGCATTCCACCCATTCCCCGCTTCCTCTCACCCTCCTCTAAGAACGAACATTTTTTCCTCAGAGTTGGGGAGGACAAGCCATAGAAGTAGGTCTCATTAGGCTGAAACAAATAGGAACACTTGCACGCTGAACAACACTCATTAATATTCCCCCATTCTTCCCTCATAGGACTTTATATAACTCGAATATCACTGTTTTTCAACATTGTTAATGGGACCTTTATTATTGCTCTGATCTTTACACTGAAATTGCTCCTGAAGTAGCTTTTCATCACCTGTTGGTTGGTCTTACACAGTGCCTAAAGTACTTCTCTTCTGGAGGGGAGCCAAATTGTATTACAGAGGGGAGCCAAAGTGTATCACACAGCTAACCTCTAGCCAGGAGGTTTTCAATCATCCCAAATTAGATTTGTCTCTATATTAATCAAAAGCTTTAACGCAGGTAAAATCAGGATCTTTTCATTTGGTTTTATGGAATCAGTCATTTTTAAGCATATTTATTCTTTCTGGTGGCTGCATTCTTATCGACTTTGTCATCTTTTGTGTTTAAACAAAATACAGGACTATGTAGCACTTTAACACTGTAACAGCTTGAAACACAAAAGTCCTTCCAATCTGCCTTGGTTACATTTCAGATGGCTTCTCCAAACCAATAGTGATGTGCTCACATTTTGTCTTTGGCTACGGACAATCCATAAGAACCTGTGGAGATTCCCCACTCCCTACTCTCCATTATCTGAATATTTTTGGAGGCTGCTGCTTGTTACGTATTTCGCATCTGGATTTGATTCGATAGGTGAGCTCATGTGGGAGAAATCACGTTATTTCTCCACCTTTGGATAGGCTGAGCAAATACCATGTGACCATAAGAGTCAGTCAGGCTTGGCAGAATTGATTTCACTTAATTTCTCAGAAGCAAAAATCAAGTTTTATTCTGAACCTCATATGTGCACAGATTTATGGAGTCCAAATTTCAGCCATTATCTCTGCATATTTTCAGCACAAGGCAATGTTTCTGGAACAGTCACAAACAGTATTTAGTCTGGACATTTGGGCTGGCTCATCCAGAAGGAGTTAGAGCAAAGCAGACTTTTGATTAAAAATGTTTTGATCTGTGCTTTAATTTTTCCAGTTAGGACTTATTAGATGTACTTCCTGATTAAACTAATGTAATATCCTACAAACTGCTTGTATATCTACAACAGTCAGCAAAGCCCTGGCAAACAATTCGTCTCTTGCTTTTGTTTTAGTTCATTAAGGTATGCTAAGTCTTACCCTGTGTATAACATAAATATAAACTAAAGAAGATAATTCATTTAATAGCTTCATTCCCTTCTCAGCTACTCTTTTTGTGACACTGCACCTCACATATGCTATTGTGATATTATCATGATATGATTGTCTCTAAAATATGATGTATTTTATGCCAGGCAGGTCATGTAAGATACTATTGGAAAAGTTACTGTTTGCCAAATACAATTATCTTATTTGCATTCATGCATCATTTTTGTATCTCAAGTTATGAATACTGACTATATCTGTATTTCAAATGTAGTGTCATCTGGGTGATGCCCACTAGGCAAGATGATTTCACTCTAGATATGATTGGGGAATGGCCCATTCAGGGTAATGAGCCATTAGAGAAAACAATAGGTTTTAAGAGAAGCTTATCTGTCACCTGAACACCCTCCAGAGAGCCACTAACTAATGGCTGCTATGACCAGGCCACATGACTTTGAACTCCATCTTGGTATGTCAGTGTTTTTCCACAAACTGAGGTTTGGGGCAAAGGGTTCCTGCCATATGCTAAAGCTATAAAAGGCAGGGAGTGATAGCATCTGTTGTTCCTCACTCCCCATACAAGTTCACTCCTGGAAACACCTGAACTGAATGGCTCACTCCCCACACAAGTTCACTCCTGGAAACACCTGAACTGAATGGGAGACGTGCTGAACCCAGGCTAATGGGATTTCTAGCCGTGTTTGAAAGCAAACGGAATATTAGGAATAATTAAAAAGGAGATGAAGAATAAGACAGAGAAAATCTTATCGCCTCTATATAAATCCATGGTACGCTCACTTCTTGAATACTGTGTACAGATGCGGTCACCTCATCTCAAAAAGGGTATTTTAGCACTGGAAAAAGTTCAGAAAAGGGCAACAACGTTATTAGGGGTTTGGAACAGCTGCCATATGAAGGGAGATTTTAAAAAACCTGGGACTTTTCAGTTTAGAAAAGAGGAGACAAAGAAGGGATATGATAGAGGACTATAAAATCATGACTGGTGTGGAGAAAGTGAATACGGAAAAGTTATTTACTTGTTCCTATAACATAAGAACTAGGGGTCACCAAGTGAAATTAATAGGTAGCAGGTTTAAAACAAACAAAAGCAAAAATGCAGAGTCAACTTGTGGAACTCTTTGCCAGAGGATGTTGTAAAGACCAGGACTTTAACAGGTTTAAAAAAAGAACTAGATAAATTCATGGAGGTTGGGAATGGTGCCTCTAGCGTCTGTCAGAAGCTGGCAATGGGTGGCAGGGGAGGGATCACCTGATGATTACCTGTTCTATTCATTCCCTCTGGGGTACCTGGCATTGGCCACTGTTGTAAGCTAGGATACTGGGCTAGATGGACCTTTGGTCTGACCCAGTATGGTTTTTCTTATGTTCTTATGACCTGGGGATTCCAAACTGTAAAACAAGTGCAGATTGTTCCTTAAGAATCTGCAGCCTGCTCGTATCATCAGCCAGGGTGAGAGTTTGTTACACCATATCCTGTCTTCCTAGCATTTTAAACTTAGGCTGCAGTTTTGTTTATTTACTAGGCAATCTTCTATGCTCGGTTCACTATCACTTGTAACCACGGAACATCTGTCTTTTGTCATTAATAAGCTTGTTTTTGCTTTAGCTAAACCAGTGAGTTGGAGTAGAGTGTGGGAAACTGAAAGTGTGTGGGAAACAGGGGCAAAGGCTGTTGCATGTTCCCATGCAGTGCAACGTGGTACAACTTTGAGTGTATGCTCCAGAGTTGGGTGTGTGCTTGGAGAGCTGAGAGTGACCTTGGCTTTAGCCTCCCTGCTGTTGGTTCATGCAGTGGCTAGTCAGAGGGGCAGCCTGTCCATGCAGCTGGGTGTGTCCCTACCTGTGTGGATGCCTCTGGAAGTGTAGAACTGGGAGCGGCTCTGCCACTCCTCACAGCAGCACAGCGAGAAAGGGAAGTCAGGCAGGTGGGTGTAAGGGCTCAGCAGTACCCCAGGTCCAGGTGGCGAGCTTTACTATATGGCTGTGTCTAGACTGGCAAGGTTTTCCGCAAAATCATCTGCTTTTGTGGAAAAATTTGCCAGCTGTCTACACTGGCCGCTTGAATTTCCGCAAAAGCACTGACAATCTCATGTAAGATTGTCAGTGCTTTTGCGGAAATACTATGCTGCTCCCGTTCTGGCAAAAGTCTTTTTCCGAAAAACTTTTGCGCAAAAGGGCCAGTGTAGACAGCTCAGGTTTGTTTTCCGCAAAAAAGCCCTGATCGCGAAAATGGCGATCGGGGCTTTTTTGTGGAAAAGCGCATCTAGATTGGCCATGGACGCTTTTTCGCAAAAAGTGCTTTTGCAGAAAAGCGTCCTGCTAATCTAGACACGCTTTTCCGGAAATGCGGTTCTATGGGTAAAATGCGAGCTTTATGCGAGCTTTACTGTATCTGTATGGTTCTATGGGTATAATGTCGTGGATAACAGCACCTTTGGGGTGCCCACTGTCACAGTCTCTTGCAGAAGTACCCGTATCCTCACCCTCTCTAATGGGTGCCTGAAGGGCACATTCCAAGGTGCTTTATGCTCCTGCTCATTAGCATTTCTAGATACCTAGTAGAGTGGGCGGATGACCGGAGGAGCTACAATCTTGCCCAAAAGGAACTCATTTGGAAAAATGACACTGAGCACATAATGGGAATACAGCAGGGTGTGCAAGGTTACTGTACCCCACTGCAAATGTGAATGGAAGCGAGGTATATACGGGTGCAAAAACAGCTAAGCACTGGGCACCATCCTCCACATTGAGTCAGACTAATGCAATCCCCCTATGTGGTCACTGCCGTATGTGCTAGCACATGAGGCAAAAAGGAATGGAGTGTGAGCAGTGATGAATGTGTCTGTGAGGACAAGGAGCTTAAGCCGGATCCCTATTGATTAATGCGGCAGAATTCTTCCTGCTAAGAGGCAGGGATAACTTGGTGGCTCTGTACAGTTGCTCTCAATGTAAAATCAGATTCACTTGTGCTTTCTGTCCTTCCCATATTACTGTGTCCTCCTCATAGCTCTGTTGCACAGGATCAATACCAGTACACGGACACTTTATTTACTAGGATCAAGCTGCAATACTACAAAGACTGTTCTTGGAAGCGTTACAACCCAGTTCTGTGAACTCAAGAGGCTAAACCCTTCACTCAGTAGTTTTTAACCCTGTCCCACTGAAGGAGTTTTGCCTGAACAAAAGGGGAATAAAAACAATTCAGGACGGATTTAGGGATCTGGCCCAGGAGTTTGAGAGAAGCCTTTGAACTTTGGGGTGTTAACTAAAACTGAGCTCTGAACTTTTGAAGTTCTCAGTTTTGAAGATCACTGGGAAGAAAACAGCCACTGTTGTTAGTTTTCATCTCCATAGTTTATGCAAATTTTAGCACATTGTTTTCTGGTTTATGCTGTCTGGTAACTTCTTTATATAGCCTCACATACATAAAACCATGCACATTACTTACTGTTCATTTTCATAATAGAGTTTTCCAATGGCCCAGGCCACAATGATTGGGCAAGGAATACCTACAAAAAACCCAAAAAAAGTCACAGTCCACCACATTAGTGATCGAACACTATCAGTATGTGTGTGTTGGGAATGAGGGGGAGGGAGGCATAAGAAGTCATGCTGATATCTGCCTTTTGTCATGGTCTATAGACCTAAGGCCCCTGTGACTGCTAACTACTTTTGAGTAAAAGAAACAGAAGTCCTAACAAGGTGAAATCTTTTCACAGCTGTTTTGCCAGTGTTCTAGAAAAAATTAAAAAGCTACTTGAGAAACAGCAGGAGATTTTGAATGAATCATAAAAATTTTCTTTGTACCCTGCAATACCTTCAAGTCAGATTGAGCTGTCTAGGGAGCGTATTACTAGACTACAATCTCCTTATGGTTTTATACTACCGTATGGATTGGGTGGGAAGTCTGGAAATCAACCTTCCCAAGGACGAGGGCAGCAATGAGGAATTCTCCCATGCTCTGGCTCTTGCCCAGTTCCGATGTTACTCTAGAATTCTCGGAAGAATGCGATTTCTCCCAGCTGCACTGGAGCACTCCACGACCCCCAACACGACCCCCCATGTGTCCTGTGGGCAGCTTTTTAAAATGATTCTGAAATCTCAGCAAGCCCATGAGTCTGCTTTGCATGTCTCGCTCCCAGCAACCTGCAAATGCACTAAGGCAGAAGTCCCATTACTGGGAATTTAATCTCCTGATATACGACTGGCTACATCCATAAGCCTCCTGTATCTGTAGCACTGTTGCCTCTGCTTTCACATCTACTGCTTTACCGTGTGATTTGTGCCCAGATTCAGGGGGCAAGATCCTTGCCCTCATTATGTTTATTTTGTGCCAGTCCCTTGGCAAGAAGCTGATGAGTAGCTGGCTGGTGGAGAATTCCCATCACATAGAAGGAATCCTAAGAGTCAGTGTAGTCAGCACTTTGCTACTCCCCTCCTAAGGTAGGTTCCCAGGGAAAAGGGGACGTGGCTGAAGCATCTTGTGCTTCAGTGACCTCTTGCTTCCAGGACAGGTCCTTGGAGGAGCTGGCACAGTTTACAAAAGCACTGTGGCTCCTCTGAGTGCTCTGGGACAGAGAGGGGACAAAAAAAAGCTGCAGGAGCATGGGAGAATAAGAACTGCAGCCCCAGTGGGACACCAGACCTAGCTGCCCTGTGCTGGTCCTGATCTTGACTAATGGTTGACTAGTTTAATGATATAATTTTAATCATTTAACCAGTTAACTTTTTAAACTGCTATTTACATCCCTACATCCGCTATTAGGCTGCGTCTTAGGAAGATGGGGTAGCCCCTGGTGACCTCAAATGCAGCGGCAACGTTGTGCCTGCACAGAATGAGGCCCAATTAACTCCATGCTGAAATGTTTTTCCTTTGGTCTGATTTGTTTTGTCTGTCTTAAGGCTGTAAGGGGTCTGTCAGGTCAGGAACAGTGTCTC